CCAGGGAGAAACAGTTGCAGATATTGAGGTCACATCAGTGGTTAAGAAGTAAAAGACCTTATGCAATAACTCTGCAGGCCACATGACTGTGCAAAGGTTGTGTGGGTTTGTAAAGCTAATATAATGGCAGAGCTAGACTCATCCGAATCACAGCTTCATCATGTTTGCATCTGTGGCTCTACTCTTGGTGGCTGTTCTGCTCTTCCTGCTCCTCTTTCACTCCCCCAGGGCCAAGAATTTTCCTCCAGCCCCCCGACCCATCCCCATCTTGGGAAACTTGCTGCAGCTCAATCTGGAGAGCCCCATTGCAGATCTGAAGAGGGTAAAGTTGAATAATATTTCCAAGAGAACTTACTTGCTTGCCATATTCATACTAAATTGGGGTCAGAATACATATGAATGCATGAATCTATTTTTTACATTTTATTTTACTAGAAAATCACTAGTAATCAATTACTCAAAACAATTAATTTAATAGCCTTTGTATGATGCTGTTGTTCTGACTGTTGGGCTTGTTTGGGGAGGTCTTTACCTAAAATGACCCAAGACGTTCATCTTGGGTGACCTATTCTGTCATTAACACTGCAACTAATACTCCTACTAATAACCAGTGTTGGGAAAGTTACTTTCAAAATATAATTTATCACATATTAATTCCCACTGGCGGAAGCCACTGTTCCAACACCAACTTTGGTTTTGTCAAAATAAACTTTTAATTTACAGAGTTAGATGTGAGCTCGGTGAGCTCGCTGAGTAAGAACTAAACAGCTGTTCACACTTGTTCTTCCAAGGAAAACAATTAAATTAACAAAATAAAATCCCCAAACCAAAAAATGATGAACTCAACCAAATATATACGTCCAGTCGGCCAACCCTTTTGGCTATGCATTACAATGAAATAATATTCCCCAAATCCTATTATATATATATATATATATATATATATAGTATTTTTGTTACAGCTAAAAGTTACAAAAGTACAGCATTTCCCCTGACCATGATAAGAACTAGTTACTAATTGACGCATTGCACTGAATATAGGTCAATCACATAATAATCTTCTGTGTCTCTGTCCCCAGCTGACCAAATGCTATGGTAACGTCTACAGCCTTTTCATTGGTCCCAGGCCTATGGTTGTCATCAACGGCATGCAGGCCTTGAAAGAAGCCCTGGTCAACAAAGCTGCTGACTTCTCTGGCAGACCACAGGACCTAATGGTTAATCACGCTGTACAGGTGAAAGGTACTGACCAACCGTTTGAGTGTGCAGAGGGAATTCTGTACATATATACTATATATGTGTGTCCATACGTGTGTGTGTGCGCATTAGTTAACTTATAGTTAATACATTAATTGTAATTAATTGTAATTAGTTCCTTTCCTTTTCGAAAAGTATAATCAGTTCTACCAGTACACTGTCATTAATGCATATAATATGAAAACTGTTATTTTCACAGAGAAATAAATTGGCAACTAATGACATAAATACTCTCAAACTGATTACATGTTGAGTTTAAAAGGTTATGGCACCATATAGTGGTAGCAGGGGTGGTATTCAAAGTAGGAACTAAAGTAGTATAAAATGGAAATAGTCACATAACAGTACCTCCAAATTATACTGTAAAAGTACAGTGGTCGAGTAAATGTACTGAGTTACTTTTCACCACTGGGTGGTAGTATCAATAATCACACTGTGATAAACAGCATAGCAGACTGCTGACCATATTTTCACCAGGATTCATTTAATTTTTCTACACGTAAACCATCAGTATAATTGTAGCCTGTATGTTGACGACAGTGAGTCAAGGCAGCACAAGCTATTATTGCGTTATTATTATATTAATATTATTATTATTATTGTTAATAATAATGTTTAAACTTCATTTAGTGCGCTTAAAAATGTATTTCAAAGTGAATGCACTTTGCCCTCTAAATTTTATGTTGGCCTTTTTGCATATAGCTCATGCTCCCGGAGTGATTCTAGCAGATTATAACCCTGCCTGGAGAGAGCAACGACGATTTGGTCTGATGACCCTGAGAAACTTTGGTCTGGGGAAACAGTCCATGGAGCAGAGCATTCTGGGAGAGATACATCACATCATGAAGATAATGGAGCAGGGTGTCGGTACGTCCACTTTAGGACATCAGGGTCTAGAAAGTGATCTTTTGAACTCTGTGCTGAAAACCAGAAATCCAGAAGCAATTATCTTTATCTTGTTTTCTTATTTTATTATTATCATTAGTAATTCTATTTGGGTAATGTCCGAGAATAATTGTTCATCTTGGTTTATCAGGTAAGACCACAAATCCTCATCTGCTGTTCCACAATGCAGCCTCCAACATCATCTGCCAAGTTCTGTTTGCTAAGCAGTTCGACTATGACGACGAGTTCATGAAGTTTTTTGTTGGCCTTTTTCACGAGACTTCCAAACTAATCAACGGACGCTGGGGTATGGTGAGTCACATTTTTGCCAAGAAAACCTCTCAGTGGCATATCATCACTACTACAAATTTAGAGTAAATATAATATGTAAACTTGTTCACTAAAAACAGTGTGAGATAGACGATGAATACTGAACCATTATGTTAAATGGAAACTGTCAATGTATGTTAAGTGATCTCAGTACCAAACTTTTATAACTGTTATATAATTAAGTTTTTATTTATCCAACCAACCAATTTATCATCAGACTGCCACTGAAAACTGCACAAAAACAGGCAATGCTCAGAAACCTAAAGGGCTTCTTAAAACTTTTTTATTTGTCTCTCTCATACAGATTTATGACTCTATTCCTCTGGTGCGCAACCTGCCACTCCCCTTCCAGAAAGCATTTATGCTCTTCAAGGTATGTTTTCTAAACTGTTCATTTTAAGGTTTTGTCATATGAGAGCCACTTAAACATTCAAGTACTACAAAAAAGTGCAATATCCGGAAAACATTTCCATTAACAGCATACTTAACAAAAAAAAATCATAATTTTATTGTCTCTGTTGACAAATTACATTTTTAAAAATACAATTATGTCTTTATTTTAATTGTATATGAAGGGGTAGTTTAAATTGACATGAAACAAAAAGAGAAAATAATGAAAGAAATAATAATCTTACAAATGATATTATATTTTTGACATCATGTCACCGACCAGAGGGAAAGGAATGGAGGGAAATGGACCCCTGGCTCATGGGTTGATTTGATAGCTAGTGGCTCAGTGAGGTTGATAACTTTAGCCAAGTAACATTAAACACAAAGTGCAGCTGAGGCTGATGGTAATGTCATTAGTTTTGCAGGTATTTGGTCATGAAGCAAAGTACGAATTAAACTTAACCTGAATATGGTACTAGATGAAAAGTTTAAAGCTTAGATTAAATCCAACAACTCAAATTTTAAATCCAAATTAGATCCAATAATGTTATCCTTTAGGTGGAAAATTTTAAATCCAAATTAGAGGATGCCATTACTGTAAATAGTAAATAGCTGCTATAATAGCCTTTTAAATCTTATATATGTATAGTTTCTAAAAAATGAATTAACCTTTTCATTATTGCATCAACACTTTTTTTCCCCTTCCCAGATGGCACATGAAAGACGTTTGGAGATGTTGGCTGAGAACAAAAAGACCAGAGTTCCTGGTAAACCACGGCATTTCATAGACTGTTACCTGGATGAACTGGATAAGGTGTGTCTCTTTTGTTCATTGGAAGAATTCTTTTTGGAGCAGCTGGTATGATGAACGAGCATGTTATTGACCGGTAAGACATGTTAGCTTTGGTAGTGGTGACAGAATGAACAGCATGAACTCACTGTTTCTCTCTCTCGTGTCTGCCTGGACAGAGAGGAGACGATGGCTCGTCATTTTCTGAAGACCAGCTCTGTGCATTTATTTTGGATCTTCACTTTGCAGGGACTGACACGACCGCCAACACCCTGCTCACTGCCTTCCTCTACCTTATGAATTATCCACACATACAGGGTATGTGTGTTTATCATCTGTCAGTCTCCACTTTCCTTAGCCAATCTAGAGGCATAATAATAATACATTTTATTTAAAAGAGCGCCTTTTCGAATACTCAAAGACACTGTACAATATAATAAAAAGAAGAATACAAGAACATCAAATAGGTAAAAAACAATATAAAGACTACATTACATATGTTAAAAACACATTAGACTCAGATTTTAATGGCATGGCCAAAGGGATGACAGTGTCAGTCTGTCCACCAGACTGAAATATCTCAACAACTACTGAATGATTTATATTACATTTTGCACAGACAGTCGTGGTTTTCAGACAATGTTTCCTAATGACTTTGATGTCCTTTACTTTTCCTCTAGCACCACAGTGAGGCTGACATTTGCAGTTTTGGGCAAAATATGCCCCAAACTATGACAACTATTGAATTAATTGCCATGAAATTTGGTTCAGACATTGATAGTCCCCTGGTGATAAATTGTAATGATTCCCTTTTTCAGGGAAAAAGGAAGCAAATAGATTCTTATCCAGGGACACCTGCATGTCGTTATTTAAAGTATGAAAGATTCACACTTTCCTTTGAATCTGCTGACACAGTTCAGGCTGCCATATATAACTGAGTAAAATCTTGCATTGTTCTCTCTTAACTGTCTCACACTTTGTCTCCCGCTGTCCATGTGGTCTGTCTCTCTGTACTCCTCAGAGCGTTGTCAGCAGGAAATAGACAAAGTCCTGGATGGGAAGGATCAAGCCAGTTTTGAAGACAGGCACCAGATGCCCTACGTGCAGGTATAAGGATAATGGGATCATATTTACATCAATATTTACACCTCTATTTTGTATCTGATATTTTTGTATTTTAAAATGATGTGAATTGTAAAATCGCAGTTATCTAATATATCTGTGATGTTACAATGCTCCAGTGTGGGCTCTAACAGCTGACTCTGTCATGCAGGCTGTTATTCATGAGATCCAGAGGATGGCTGACACTGTTCCTCTCAGTGTTTTCCACAGCACCACTAAAGACACAGAGCTAATGGGATACTCCATACCTAGAGTAAGTATAACATATATTTTTTGTCATAATAAAGAAGATAATAATAATAGAAAAGGGAAAAGGTTCATGTCCCAGGAACTTCAGTCAGAGCAACTGATGCTAACATTTATTGTGTACACACACAGGTGCGTACATCTTCACAACCAATCACAGAGAATCAGATAGAGGTCTGATTTTTTTGCAATGCGACCTCAGTGTGAACAGTCATATCAGATTCCATGTGACTTTTACATCACTCTAGATCAGGTCATATCCATATCAGAAGGAGCGCTAAGGCTAGCAGTGTGAACGTAGTTATCTGTTGATATTTTAATAGACATCCTCTCTTCTTTGTTTATTATTCTTCAGGGAACCGTTATCATCCCCAATCTGTCCTCAGTGCTGAGTGAGGAAGGACAGTGGAAATCTCCACATGACTTTTACCCTGAAAACTTCCTCAATGACAATGGAGAGTTTGTGAAGCCAGAGGCATTCATGCCTTTCTCTACAGGTAAGTGAAAATGATTATAACATTTAGAGATAAACTATCAGATTCATTGGAGGTATGACATTAGGTTATGGTAAATATGCGGGTATTTTAATCTGCAGGTCCCCGTATGTGTCTCGGAGAGGGTCTGGCTCGTATGGAGCTCTTCCTCATCACGGTGACACTGCTGAGAAGATTCAAATTCATCTGGCCTGAGGATGCAGGAAAGCCAGACTACACTCCAGTTTTTGGATCAACCCAGACCCCCAAACCTTATTGCATGAAGGTCCAACTCAGAATTTGATATAGTGAGAATATTAAGAGAAAGTATTAAGAAGAGAATCCTCACTAACTCAGTTTTCCTCAATTGTACAAAGCTTAATTGTATCATTCAGCTTGTTGTTTTGGTTTTACAGCCCAAAACTTAACTGTTTGGTTCAGACTTACATTTGCCCTTAAAAGTTGAGAATATGTCAGTGTCAACTTGTTCCGCTGCCCCCAAGTGGCCAAAAAACAGAGGACAGAAAAACAAATTCTACCAACTATACTGTGACCTTGGCATTGAATGCAACAAAACTGCTAATTGTACTGATTGATCCCAATGTGAAATTTAAATTGGGACATGATGGGAATTGCTATTAAATAAATATGTTACACAACACCAATTATCGTGTAACTTTGTCATCTGCAAAAACTGGTTGATAGAGGTTTGCCACTATAGGAAAGGAAAGGATTTCCATTTTATGCCACACATGAAGTCCACTGCATTTCTCAGGTAAATATTGTACTTATTACTCCACTACATTAATGTATGACATCACATAACTGTCGTTACTATAGTTACTTTACATACAAACCTCTAATGACCTTATAAAATATGATGCCTTGTTATAGGTTAAACTGCATTAATAATAATGGTAATGATGAATACTTTCACTTTTGATAATTTAATGATAGTTTATTGATTTGTGTACTTTTACTTTGGTTCTTTTAATTTTTCTTTTAAATGTGTAATTGAGTATTTTTGTGTGGTTTTAATACTGCGTCTGAATATGTCTCAAAGTGTTGGACAGACTGACAGCCATGGATGAACTTATCCTGTTATGTCCCCTCTCTAGTGGGACCCTACACTAAAATAAAACCCACTTTAAAATAACATAAGCCTACATTGTGAGACTCTATAATGTCTCTGTGTGTGATTGGATCAGTGAGTTAAAAGGCTGAACTTGGTGTTACTGCACAAACAGTACAGTATGTCCACTTCACAACAACATGAAGACATTTATGATCATTCGGAGAAAAAAAAAATAAGGGGCTTTTCTACCTAACATACAGGTACACTAAACCATGCACTATTCAGTTTAACCAGCAGCCTTTTGATGGTCGGACAGTGGTGTATTATTGAAGCTTTTGTGTTGATGCTGTATTGTTTTACTGGGCGTTCTCTTGATTGTCAACTGGAGGCCGGGGGTAGAGGGGGTGGGCTTGAATGGTGTGTGTGTATGTGTGTGTGTGTGTGTGTGCTGACGTGGACCTTCTGTGATGACATTCAGTTGGATGACTGGTGTGGCAGGGAGAACAGAGAGACGAGAGCAAAAGAGAAAAAGAAAGTGAAAGAGACGCACAGATAGAAGTAAGGTGTATATATTAAACAGACACGTCAAGAAAAGAGAAATAGCAAAGAAAAAAAATAGTATATTATATAATAAACAAGGTGAGATTAGGTGGACACGGACATACCGAGACAGTGTGACTGACTGAAATGGAATCAAAGAGACTGAGACAAACTTGGGATTACCAGTAACGGATCATCAGAAGTGGAGTTTCTCAAACATGGACTAGTCTGGGAGTTTGCATATATACATACACACACACACACACACACACACAGACACACACACAGACACACACCATCCAAACACACACACACACACACACGTTTGGTTTCCTGTTGTGAGCCGTCTTGGCAGTGGACAGGTGTCAGTATGCAGGAGTCTCCAGGTGCTATGGGTGTAGATGGCAGCTATGCCAGCAATGTTCCAGCCTTCCTCACTAAACTGTGGACCCTGGTGGAGGATCCAGATACCAACCATCTCATCTGCTGGAGCGCTGTGAGTCCTCAGAACATACGGTTTATGATACTGTAGTACCTGTGTGAGGAATGTTAGTTTAGTTTACAGAAAATAAAAAAACAATGAGTAAAACAACTATGTCTTCCCCAGTGCACACACTCTACACACTCTGCTTGTGTTCATCGTCAACCTGCTCTTGTCTGTTTAGGAACAGCCCATTTTGTTAAAATGTTCAGCACTGTTACTGTATCACACAAGTCAAAAAGGAGTTGTGACTAGGCACAGAAACATTTTGTATCTCACAACCTGAAAACCTTCTATGTGACTAAAGTCGAGCTAACTCCTACGAGGGGTTACGCTCAAGACTCTGCACTGCGCTCATTTAGCTTGAAAAGTAGCTGCTTTGGACTGACAATGTACTATAGTTAACAAATACTAGATAGATAGATAGATAGATAGATAGATACTTTATTTATCCCAAGGCAAATTCTAGCATAAGGGAAATTCAAGCATTGTTAAGACTTTCTAACAAAACTGCTACTTCTAAAACCTGTTTAGCTTGCTAACAACTTGCTTGTTTAGCGTGCTAACTAGCTGCTTTGGCCTGCCAGTTTAGCCTCGCTAACAAAACACCAGTTTAGCTTGCTAACGAATCTAGGCCTGCTAACACTAAGTGTAATGACCTCCGGAGAACAAGAAAAGCACTACCAGCCGGTCTAATTCATCTTTTATAATATAAATATAACGTTAATACATACAATATACTTCTGGTGTTTTAAAATAAGGAACTAACTGACCTGTGCTTTTATGGCTGGCTGTGTCAGTCTTGCTGCCCTGATGGTAAATTACTGGTAAGCTGTGGTCTGTAGTATCGAGGAAGGAAGTCCAGAACAGTGGTGGGATAAGTACTCAGATCCTTTACTTAAGTAAAAGTACCAATAAAACAATCCTGCAGTCAAAATCCTTAACTAAAAGGGCAGATTTATTATGAGCTAAATGTACTTTAGCTTACAAGTATCAAAAGTAAAAGTACTTGTTATGCAGACAAATGATATGTCATTATACATTACATCAGTTGTTACTGGTTCATTAATGTGTACTGATGTAGCTGGTGAAGGTGGAGCTATAGCAAGTTATTTATATATTATTATATACTCTAATTGTTTTATATTTGAGAGTTTCACCTCTTCAGGCCATGAACAATAATTTAAACGGAGTCATATTTTAATTTATAGGGGAAATCACTCCCACTCAGGCTCCAACCAGACACTGATATTTATAGTGGTCATATAAACTGGTTGTACACCTGTATCAAGGCTGAGTGATACATTCTATATTATACATATGGTACTTTAGTAATCAGCCAACATAATGCATACATAAAACTCATGTTTGTCAGGTTGTGAGCATTTGTGAGTGATCTGTTTAACCGGTGTATCTGTTGGCAAAGTAATGCTTTCTTTAGTATTAAAATACATTCTAATGCTTTCACTTTTTATTCAACTATCATTAGCACTTTACTTTGACCTTTGACCTGGGATAAGTGGGTACATTTTAAATTATGTGAACAAATAAAAATTCTTAATCATCACTTAATCATTTTACATGGAGAAAAACACATCATATTATATTGTCTAGACAATATAAAACAAAGACCATATGTGGTTCATCTCTGTTTGTCCTTGGGAATGAGTTCTAGATTGATGTGTGACAAAGACAAGGCTTCAGTGATAAACAGGAAAGAGGACAGCTTCTCTGTTCTCAGGGAGACAAACACACGGACAGATGCTGTTCGGTCCCATGACGCTTGAGTGCAGCATCAGCTGTTGCATTGTCACACTATTAGTAGGCAAGTGAGCATCACTACATACAAGGTAACAACGACGTCTTATGAGAATTGTCCAAACTTTATACATTTCACAGTGCAAATGGCTAAATCCGTATGTAAAGAATTTACAATAAGTATTTACAATACTTTACACAAGGCTGCTTTTAAAGAGTATTGTGGAGCTACTGCAGTTGCTCAGTAAGACTGTAATGATGGGACACAGAGCATGACTCATCAATCACAGTGAGAGAGAGAGTTTGTTTGATTGGCTGACTGAGCTGAATTTGGCTTCCGATGAATAGATCCTGCACTCTAGGGAAACTATATGGTAATCCGTACATCATTATGGTAACATTATTTCACATATAGTGTCCATCTAGTAACGGGTGGTGAGCCATGTTTATGACAGTGATCACTAACAAACTCAGGGTTTAGTCATTCGCAGCAGTTTTAAAGGCAGTAAAATAGGTATGTTGCCATTTTATTGTCAGCTCTCATACTGCTAAAACTGTGTCACTGTATACATAGGGCTGATTAACAAACTCCTTTTTAGGATCCAAAAAGAGTAAAAATGACCACAAAATGACTTCAAATAACTCTTTGACTTTTCTGCTTTGGGTTCAAAAGTCCAATATGTCCATTCATGTTTAAATGCACATTAGTATCCCAGTTATGACTGTTATGCGGTTACTTTATATTTGGGATATGTTGTTTACAATTAATACCTGATTAATATATGTTCCTGTTCATGTGAAATAACCCAATGAAGTGTTAAATTTGACCGATTTTGGACTGCAGAACAGATGAGTTTCAAATTTTGGGCTACTTTCAGTCTTCTCTTGCCTTTTTGGAATATACTCCTGACTCCTTCATTTGTTTGGAGAGATCTGACATAGCTGCTACTCTTGTCTGTAAAAACTATGTACTGAATGTACTGGAAAGTTTAGTTTATTTGCACAATAAATAGTTTTTTACATTTGAACACTGTGGAGGAAATGTTGGAAGCCAACAATGGCTTATGAAGATACCTCCACTATTTAAATGTTAATAGTCATACAACAAAAGAAAAGACTAAATACTGTGTAATTTATATTCTAAGTTGCAAAACTAAGCAGTAATACAAAATTGGTAGAAATGTACAATTTTCGTAGTTTATGTTTACAAGTTGAGATGCATTACAATGAGTTCCATGAAGTGTTGTAAGTCTTCGCTAATTAGAGAACTTTTCAGGTAATAATTCAGTAACGATAATGTTGATTGTAGTGATGGAAGTAGATTATGACTGTGTTAAGGGAACATGAAATGGATGCTGAAAGTCCTTTGAGTGTCTGGTAGGATGTTGTAGTGAATGTCTGAGGAAGACTTTTTCTAAATTAAAGGGTTAAAACTTTAAAAGAACGTGAACTTACTTTTTCATCTTCCTGGGCTGTAGTTGAAACGGGTAATTAATGCTGATTCCTTGGTTGTTTGACTAACAGTAATGAAAAATAAGCTGGTATGTTGATTATTAATGTAAAATCTATCATTAGAATGAACTGAATAGAAAATACTTTGATTTACAGGCTGTGGGGCTCTGTCTTGTCCTGTTCCCTCTCTCTAAACTGTATAAGATGTACTGAGATTCTATTAACTAACTCTATATTCGTGGCTGTTCACTGTTTCAGACTGGGACCAGTTTCCATGTGTTTGACCAGGGACGCTTTGCCAAGGAAGTTCTGCCCAAGTACTTTAAACACAATAATATGGCGAGCTTCGTTCGACAGCTCAACATGTGTGAGTACACTCTTCTTTGGTCTTGTCTTCTCCTCTCTCAGTTACAGTATGTATTTATACTTTGTGTGTGTGTGTTTGCTCTTATATGTGTGTGGTTAGATGGTTTCCGTAAGGTGGTGAACATTGAGCAGAGCGGTCTGGTGAAGCCTGAGAGAGACGATACAGAGTTCCAACATCTGTACTTCCTCCAGGGACATGAACACATGTTGGAACACATCAAGAGGAAGGTATGGACATATAGACACACAAAGATTCACACATATATACGGTGTCTCAAAGATAAAGTGACCAGAAATTGTCTTATGAAGACAGGCTTTATCTTTCTAGTCTTTAATTTGGATGACCTGTATATGTAAGTGAAGCGTATAATGGATGCCTCCATCTGTACTACACTGGATTTATCTTGTGTTTACACAAACTCCTATAGGATAAAGAGACTTCCATCAAAGTCATTAAAAGCTAAAATGCCTTATCTGGGTTTCAGTAGCGCAATAGTACAGTACATAAACACGGGTCACATGTAAATCACAGCCCAAAATCTCTCTGTACTGACACCCTCTATCCTAAGACCCTCACAGCAACAAGGCTAAGAGGCTAGAGCGGCTCTGTAAGACTGTAGTTATGGATGAATCAGTCTACTGATTTATGTGTTGCACCCTCCAGCACTGCTGACTGGTGGCAGATGACCTATGTATGCTGACATTAGATGGATTTAAGCCTACTAATAGCTTCCGCCTACAACTTGGATTTGTCATAGCAGTGGTTTGAGTTAAATGCTAATGTCAGCATACTCACAATGACAATGCTAACATGCTGATGCTTAGCAGGTATAATGTTCTCCATCTTAGTTTAGCATGCTAACGTTTGCTGATTTGCACCTGCTGGGTTTTGCAGGTTTTATGTTTTAAATAAATATGACCAGATGATGGCACTGGATGAAAACTGTAGAGATCAGAAGAGTTATTACAATTAATTAACAGAAATGTGCCAACATTTCCTCAATTCATCAAATAGTTCACTTCACTTCAGTTCAATTTCACTCAAAACCACAAATGTCAACCTCACGGTGAGTACAAAGTGGACACCATCCCAAACATTCCACTGATGTTTCTGTCCACAAACACAGCAGAGGGAATGTGTGGTTGTGTGCTGTATCTGAGCAAGTTACCGAATTAGACTGTATTTTGTGTGTTCAGGTATCCATAGTGAAGAGTGAGGAGACCAAAGTCCGTCAGGAGGACCTCAGTAAACTTCTGTATGAAGTTCAGCTTCTCAGAACACAACAGGACAACATGGAGTGTCAGATGCAAGACATGAAACAGTGAGTAGATTCCATCCCCTTTACCTACTGTCAATGTGTGACTGACACTAGCAGGGTTATGGTTTAATGCGCACCACATTTACAATGTAACATGTTCTCTTTTCATTATATAGTTAACATCTCCCGTGTAAATCAGGGTGAAATACTGCTTTGTTGGAGAAGTGTTTGCTGGTTCAAATTCTTTGCTTAACTGGAAAAACAGTTGAGCAAGGTAATCAACCCTCAACTGTTTAAGTGAAGTGACCCAGCAACCATCTGTATTCAGGAGTACAGTACTTATTGATAGTTCTCAAGTGTGAAACCAGGCTGGATTACCAACTGGGGCCCCAGGTCCTCAGTCTCATGTTTGAATTGAAATTGGTTTGCTCAGTGGTTTTATGTTATGGTTAATTAAAAAAATAGTTTTGGGGGATTTGCAAAGCAAATGTACAAAATAGACCGACAGGTCCTGCGTTATGACATTATCTTGAGGCCCTGTCTTGTGGAGAGGCATAAAGTCTAGTTTTAAAACCTGGATTATTTTGGTTAATATAATATTATTAGAATTAAATTGCTCCCCATGAAATGACGCACATGAAACCTGGGGCAAGGAAGTATTCAGGATTTCTTTCTCAGTGAATAATTGAATCTACCATGTATAGTCAGAAGTGTGTGCACTGTACTTAAGGCTGTGCTCAGACAGACAACAGCACTGTCCACGAAAATGTTGTCTGACAGCTCTGCAGTGCCATGTCATCCGGCAATGCACTGCATTGGCCACTCAGATACGTGCAAGCATACTTTCCTGGGATTGTCGCAACAAAAGATAAAATGATTGCCACCTTGATAACCTTCCAGAGAAGTTAGATATTGTCTTTTATACCATGGTCTGGGGGAATATCGATTCTGATTGGTCCGCAGATTGTCCATTAATCCCTTCTTATAGTCGACACCACCTTATACTAAGTAATAGTTCCAGTGTTCTAACATTGTTCTGATTCACCCGTTCTAATTAATGTGCTAGCTGGCGTAATAAGCCTAAGGTCTCTAAATGAGTAACCATCCAAGCAACGGGAACCAAGGCAGTCAAGAAGCCCTTGTTTACAGATAAATGAATATTGTTTATCTTGTCCAACCACTGTTAGTGTAGTTTCTTCTAGTCCTTCCAGTTGCCTTATCCTCTGAACATCTACATTGGAATGAAAAGGCGACTGGGGATACGTAACCACACACAAACTGCAAGAAATACACTTCCCCTCTAAACTTACTGATATTTCACATCACACACATCACACATCACATAAGGATGTTTGCTGTTCGGGTAATGATCAGGAATTAATGGACTTTGTGGAGGCAACTGTCCTCGGCTGCACGTCGCAGGTTCTAAGGCCTCAGCGTCGTCCATTAATTCCTGATTATGGACACCTCGTCGGGCATTATCCCTTACATATACCTCTGTGCAGTGTTTTGCTATTTGAGAAACCTTTAAACTCATAGATCTGTTAATCAAACTGGACTTCCTGGATCTTATTTCATTATCTCATCAGCACCTGAAACACCACTCCCCTTGTGTAGTTTTACTGCAGGTCTGCTTTTTGTCAGAACGCACGCTTAATGGGAACTTGAAAGTGATAGAGTACATACCAAATGAGAGCACAAAGAAGGGATGGGGGTCAATTACAGGTCAAAAGGGGCCCAGCAACAAATTTCTGCCCCTGGGCCCCCTTACAGTTTAATGTGGCTATGGTGCGAAACTTATGTAAATAGAATTTCATCAATTTGACATTTGACAGTACGGAGTACTTCAAACATTAACATTTAAAAAAAAAAAAACTCCTTTTTTGTTTGATTTGACAGTTAAAGTTGTCCACTGAGGGATGACTTTGTAACCTGACAACAACTACAACTTTGCAAGGTTGAATACAAACAAAAATTGCATGGCCTTGAGACCAAAAAATACAATAACTTATTCATTCATTTCCAATTTTTGTCAGAGCCACAGGGAGCTACTGGAGAGGGTTTAAAGAGCCACATGTAGCAATAGGTTGCCTACCTCAGCTCTACGGGGTGAGAGGAGAAACTGACCTGTCTATTTTTTTCCTCTTGCTAAGTTAGAGCAAATTACCCAGTGGATGAACTTACTTTTTCTCTCCAGGCTATTGTTGCTGAAAATAGCAGCTGTGTGTCTGTTGTGTGGTGAAGCTGCTTTGTGCTCGGTATTGTTTGCTAATGAGAGTAGAGAATGTTCACCTGCTCACCTGACTAACACACACACACACACACACACACACACACACAACATTCCTCGAATCACCAGATGTGGACATGTGCACATGTACGGCCATGCACAGACTTTTTCTTTAGTATTTTGTTGTGATGTTAATTAAATTGATATACATCTTGACGTACAATGCCAAAGTAGTTTTTCAGTGTGTTTCTAAATACTTTAAATGACCCACATTTGATGAGTTTGAAGAGCAGAAAGGATGGTTACATACTGTATAATGTGACCATGGGTCTATGAACACAGAGCTAGTCAGAACAAAAGTGCCCTCTCGGATGCCCCTAGGGTAGATAAACCATGCCTTCTCAGAGTTTATAGTTCCCTGTGTGTTTTATTGAATATTATTGTAGGTAGTTCTACTTAAAAGCTGAGTCATTTAATTAAAACATTTTAACAAGTGTTTGTAATTGTTTCACCATAAATGCATCACGACTCTGCGTGTTGGTGGCCTACCACCTACAGCTGTTCCTCTTTTTATTTATTTCTGCCCCTACCCCTCAAACTGCCTGAGTCTGCCACTGTGTAGCCTACAGGGTAAATTAGCCAGGTGGTGCAACTACTGTAGCAGTTGAGTCACTTGTACCTACCATGGTGCCATCACACAGTGGAAAAAGCAAAAATAACAGTTAGACTCTCGATGAAGAGATTACATTTGCTCCACCCTGGGGCAGACTGTCTGGAAGTAGCAAGAGAACTAAAACAGGGATAGGATATACAGTAAATACAGTTCTTCTCTCTGTATAGATACAGCCTTAATGTAACACCAAGCCTGGACAGGAAAAATAAAGTCACACACACTCTCTTGTACTGTCAAAATTGAGTTAACTCAGTTTTCTTCCATGAAAGGAAATTATTATATTACCTGTCAAAGCAGCTGCTGTATTGTAAAAAAAAAAAATCTGTGGAATACTCCTTTAGAGTTAGCATTAATAGGCACATAAGTTGGAGGATGACACCTGTATTTAAAACGTCCTATAAACCGGACTTTGTTCTAATGTTGATCAGCTGACTGCCTTTAAAACAAGCTACGTTGGGTTAATAAGCTTCAGATTTTTAACCAAGTAATTAATAAACATGATTTTGTTTTCTGTTTCTCCTTTTGCTCTCCACCACCTCGATCATCATCTTCCTCTTCTTTTTTGCAGGCAGAATGAAGTGCTGTGGAGAGAGGTGGTCTCACTGAGACAAAACCACACACAGCAACAGAAAGTCATGAACAAGGTCAGTCTGTGTGTGTTTGTATCCCATGAATAATAAGTCATATCTGTGTCGAATCACTGACATGAACTGTGTGCATCTTCAGTGTTTTCTTCAGTGTGCTCTAAGTATGTGTATATCTGCTCCTACTCCCTCTCATTAGAGGGATAATCCAGAGGTACATTTCAGTTCAGAGGTAATAGAAGAAGTGCTACTATGGTTACCACTTGTTGCCTCTGAACTACTACTAATGTTACTACTACTGGATGCAACCAGTCAATTATCTGCAGTTGTGTGAAACCGACTATAATTTCCCTCTCAGTTATCATTCAAGGATTGTATTTGGCTTTGATGGATCTCGGTTGCTAATTAGGTTCAGTGTGTGACATTTCTATCACACACAATAGGGCTGTGTATTGGCAAGAATCTGGTGACGCTCAATATATTATGATATATTGCAATAATGTAAGAAAGGAGAACCTATTTGAAAAACCTCGGATTATTAGAAAAACTTGGTTATTCATAGGTTATTGAAAACTATTTTCCTTTTTCCCTGCTTTGAATGTTCCAAGGGAAGTAAAAAGGTCAGTGTGGTGTGCTGTGTGTGTGTGTGTGTGTGTGTAGAGGTGCGATTCATGCTGTGCTTTTTTTTTTCTCTTTGCCAAGATGAATTTCAGTTCTTGTTCAGCCGATGCAGTCTAACACACCCAGACACTGTGGGCCTATAAAGAGAAAGCTGGAGTACATGCAACAACACACACACACGCACGCACACACACAGTGGAGCAATCAACAAAAGTGAGACAAACAGGACCACAGTGGGGCAGAGGGAAGGGCTGGCTCAGCTGACAAACTGAACAATCTAACTCAACAAGCGCTGTGAATGGAGACAAGTGCTGAATCAGTCAGTCAGACACACACACACACACACACACATGCACACACACACACACACACACATTCACACACAGTGAAGGCAGAGCAGAGTGCATGACCCTGCTACAGCCTATGTGTGTAAAATGCTGGTTCAGCATTGCTGCTGAGTGTGAACAAGGCCAACATGAGAAAGGAAAGGCACGCTGGAACACAATAAGTGCTATAGAAACCTGTATTTTAGGATCAGTGTGCTACCTGGCAAAAGTGCAATTTTGCTCCATGTTTTAATGATAGTCATGGATGGCCTTCTGGCTTTTATTCTTTCTCTGAATGTCCAACATTTGTTTAGCATCTACCCACTCTCATGACTCACTCATCCCCTCACGCTCCCCCCTCATTTCCTGTCACATCTCCACATCAGCGATCTGAAAAGGCAAAAAGTGCTCCAGAAAAACAAAAACAAAGGGTCTACAGCTTTGCTAGCAGCTCTGTGAGGCTCTACTTGAGCCAAATGCTAACATCAGCAGCAAATGCTAATGTTTCACAATGGCAATGTTAGCATGTTGGTGTTTAGCAGGTACAGTGTTTACCCTGTTCGCCATCTTAGTTTAGCGTGTAAGCTAAGCATTGCTAACATTATGCTAACATTTGCTAATTAGCAGTAAACACAATATACAGTTGAAGCTGACTGTCATCAGTTTGAAGGTATTTTATTATTCCTAGAGCCATACTGCTAGCATGGCTAAACAGACTTCACAGACAGACAGATTCAAACTTCTCACTTACATATTATGTTATTAGGACACATTAATGTATGCCAATGTGCTTAGCTTTAATAATACAGTATGTAAGAACATTGTTGCTTAACAGCTCTTAATTTGCAGTGTACAATTACAAGACAAAGGAATCAGACAGAGATGACAACCTTTTGAAAATGTTGTCATGTATTTGAAATGACGTGACAGTGCTATTCAGCATAAATAGTGATATACACTGGAGTAGATGTAGTAGATGTCGAGTCCTTATAGACTAAACATAACAATCCAACAACTGTACCATTCAGCACATTTAAAAACAGCAAAAATACTAAAAACTGAATAGAATGAACTGAAACTCAATAGACTACCCAGAAGAGCTTCCATCTGTAACTATGATAATGATACCCTGCTGTTACTGACTGTGTGCAGCTGTTATGCCTCCAGATGTGTAACTGTTTGGAAACTAATGTTCCCTCCAGACCCCTGATGTTGGACGATGGCTCTCCGAGCCCTCCTGCCTCCAAGTTCAGCCATAGTCACCCAATGGAGCCCATGCATGAGCCCTTCTACATCCAGTCGGTGAGAAAATATAAAAATTATACACGTTTACCACTCTGCTTTGTAATGCCTTAAGTCCGGTGAGCATGTATGAAATTATAAAAGTTATCTCCATTTTGGTCTTTTCTAAAGCAATTAAAAAGGTTGAATTATTAGGTCTCATTATTAGTGCTCTGCGGCCTTTTCTCAATGACACACTTTGCTGGGAACTATAATAAGTAAATTACTGTGCTGCTGACCTACCACATTCAATATAAATGGAGCTGGCAGCCACATGCAGTAAACATCCACTCTGAAGTTACTGGCTGGGTTTCTAAGTGCTTGGCCATGTTGGGATTTCGAATTTATCTTTGTAGCCAAATGATTTAGCACACACCATTCCTAATACAGAAGTAATCGCTTTCTTCAGCAGTTCAAGACGTTTATTTGAATCTAAATTTAAAGTGTACTTGAAACATGACATATCCACTACATCATAGTGGATATATTAGACATAAATCTCCTTTAACCTGCTGCCATCAGTCAAGCTCTTATGTCACCACTAGAGGGAAGCAGTGTGCAGTGATTGGGACGTGCTGCGTATACATCATTACTGTCTGTACACACTAAACCATTTATCATTTATATTGTATATGCTGTTTTCATGGAAATGTGTTCCTCTGCAATATTTTGTATATGGTGAGCAAATGTTCAAATATCAGATTCTTGCTTTCACTAAACTTAATATATATTTATTTAAAACATGGTAGACAGATTTGATTATACATAATCAAATCTGTCTACTATGTTTTATAGGCCAGTAGAGTTCTGTAAATAAATATAATGAGCCAAAGAGGGAAACATTAGCAAAATATAGTTTCTACTGGAGGAGAAGACAGCCAAGAGACAACACACATCACAGCCCTCTCCTCTTCTTCCTCAGCCATCCAGTGATACTGCCTCTTGCTCTACTAGTGGGCTGACAGGAGGACCGATCATATCAGATGTTACTGACATGTCTCAGGCCAGCATGGCCCTCCAGATGCAGCCTGATGAGACCAGGTGAGTGATGCAATATAACACACTACTATTTCCCATGATAGAAGTCTACCTCTACATCTACTGCAGCATGTCACGAAGAGTATTCAGAGTAGTGCGCAGTGTGTGTAATGAGGCATCAAACTGATCGCAGGCTTAATAGAGACAAGAGTGACAGAACATGTGAGCAAAGCTTTAATGTTTTCCTGGCCAACCTTATGCTCCTGGTGGTTAGCGCCACTCTTGACTCACAGTGTTTGACTCTACCAACAGGGAGAAGTGCATGATGCTTATCAAAGAGGAGCCTGTGAGTCCAGGAGTGAGAGGGGGAGGGAAAGGAGGCGGCGGGGTAGGGGGAGGAGAGGCCGTGGCGTTGACCTCCTCATGTGAGGTGTGCTCCTCGGAACCTCCTGTCCTCCCGGTTGCAATGGTCCAGTCTGTCCTGGAGGGGAGAGGCTCTGTGGCCTCTATGGTGGAGAGGAGGAGTAAGAGACCTGCCCTTGACAGGTAGGCACAAACAGGTGGACACACAAACACACACACACATACAGAGCATGCAATGTACACAAATGTTTGCACAGACACATAACTGCACACCGAGCAAGCAGTGAGCAAGTGACCCTGGGTGTCTGTGTTTATGTTTTATATATTTCTCTGTGTGTACAGAGTGGAGGTTTCAGACGCAGTGGAGAACGTGGATATGAGCCTGGAGGAGCTTCAGCAGCTGCTGCTCAGGAGCCATCAGCAGAGTACTGTGGAAGCTGGGACCAGCGCTGTAATGGATGTCAGTAGATCTCAACTGTACATATAGAAACACACTGACAGACAACCTGCACTTAGACTATAGAGCACACAGTGGCCATTGAGTTGAACACTGAAATCAATACATTCTCTCTCTCTCTCTCTCCCTTCCTCTCTCTCTCTCTGTAGCCCTTCAGTTTAAGCCTGCCTCTGACTGAGTGGAACTTTACAGAGATGGAGTCCAACCTCAAATCAGTAAGTCATACGGTGTGACAACTGTACAAGCCTGGAGGAGGATGATATGATTTCCTACTCAGCAGTAACCTGCTCCTTTAATCATGATGTCAGCTTCTCTACTTAACTTAGTTGTCATCCCAAGATGTATAAATGATGCACCCTTACATATTACATTGCTCATTGTTCACATCTTTAAACCTGCAACATGCTGTGAACACGAAGAATTTGAATGACTTTATAAAGTTGATCTGGTGAACATGTCAGCTAACACTTGCATATTCAAATATCCCGCCAACACTGAGCAAAATTAGCATTTATTTGTAATTCAAATACTCACTCTTCTTTTAGCTGCTAGATGCTTTACCATGTTCACCAGCTAGGCGCTAACTTTGTCTGTCTGCTGCTTGGTGCCGAGCAGGTAGGGCACAGTGGAAGTTTTTGCTGAAAACAGCTGCCTGCTGCCTCTGGAAGTGCAGCTAATGAGAGCTGAGAGACTGAATTAAAACAGAAAGGTTGCGGGCCATAAAACCAAAACAGTGAGCCGGAAGATGCTAAAAATCTCTGTAGAGCTGAGGGGAACTGCACAGATGGGTAATAATTCTCTGTGGGTTTGTCACCACGAGTGACCCCTTTCTCATTACACATTTGATCCATTGTTAGAATATGATATTGATTAAAGCAGCATCAACACTCAACCCTGCTCTTCTTCTTGGATAGCCAATTTCAAATCACCTGCTATCACACAGTTGCCTGAGAAATAATTAACTCATGCCCTATATCAAATGTGACATCTCTCCACACCACACCATGGCTGGTGGGTCTTCACCTTTTCTGGCCGTCCAGAGTAAAAATAGCACTGTGCTTAAAACAACTCATGGGGCTGCATTGGTGTGGACTGGACACTTTGCTGCAGGTCCAGCTTGAGCAGCAGATCTGAGAGTGTGAAGGATTATCGAACATAGCACACTATTAATAGACATAGTTATCATGGCAGCAAGGAATTTATCCTTAGTTTCGACAACTGTGAAGTAATCAGAATTAAAACATTAACTTTACGAAGTAATCCATGATGTGTGCTTGCATACATTTGATTGGCAAGCGCAGTGTCGGACCACCCTGTCATGTTTTGTCAGAGCCCTCTGCGTCGGGACACCTGTTGTGCCAACGCAGTGGTGTTATTGAAATGAATGAGGACGCTGCGGTTTTGGATGCAGTGTTAATGTCGGTACGAGCACAGCCATAGGCCATCAACAAAAAAGGCCTGTCTGATCCACTGATTGTATCGATACAGTGTGGTTTAGTATGTAAATGTTTTCCTCCAAACTAGAATAGTGATTCTACACACAGTCCAAAAAGTTCTGAAGCTAAGGTTGAAGGACAAATTGTCTAATGTGACTCTCAGATTCAGGATCCAGTACAATACAAATAGGGCCATTGCTGAAGATTCTGGCCCCCACCCTCCTCTTCACAGTTTGTACCTCAATGCAGAGCACCCACTGCTAAACCTCCATGCTAGTGATCAATAATGTCACTGAAGTTTAATTTTCTGGCTGCAGCTTACTTGAAATAGAACCAGGATGGAATTCGCGGCTGGTGTTGAGAACTGCATAATACCCACCAGCAGACTGCTGCTGCAGGAAGAGTGATAGACAGCTTAATAGTAAACAGTATCTTTCCAAAAAGGCTTTTTAAAAACTGCATTTAACAGCTGAAGTGGAGAAAAATGACATGGCAAATTGGTGCAATGAAATGATGAATGGTTTTAAATCATTGCCTACTTGTTTGCCCCATGTTAGAAATTGTTCCTCATCAGTGAACCTGAGTGTCAAACAGTAGCTAGTTCCTTAAATGACTCCTGCTGTTTTGTAATGTCCAAATCACTGATTATGCTGTTGCAACATAAAACACTGTGTTGCAAAAGACAACTGATGCACTCTCTTGAACTCATCCCAAGACATGTCATCATGATGTTTTCTTTTCCTGTGATGGCTCGTGTATTGTGAAATTGAGGTGCAACACTGGTCTCATTTGTCACTAGGGTGGCTTCTTTATAAAGACAAATTTATGCTCATTGGAAGATATTTCTGTCAATGCACTGCAATACTTTCAGCAACAACTGTAAGGAGGATAAATACATTGAAAGACATGAAGTACATCTGTGGAATAATTGTGTCTTATCTTGCACCACTTGTTTGATTGCAAGAGGAGATGACGCTGTTTATGAGGTCATTAACATGAGACAAATGGTTGGAGTCGCCTGAGCGAACACCCAATTCGCCTTCAGGATAGGCCACCGCTGGGACTCAAAAGATTGTATCATTGATTTAAATAAAAAAAGGAGAACAAACCAAATGGAATAAGACATTAGACAAAAGACAAGATGTGGTTTTAAGTTCTGAAACTATAAGTGCGTTTCCATCCACCTGTTTTTATGTGCATGAGTATAAAAAACGCTAAATTCGAAAGTCAGAATATTATAAAAAAAATTTTAAAAACGAAATATAGATAAAAGCAAATGTAAGCGCAATGAAAACAGACTTGGTGAATAAATTATGATGTATGTGAAGCATAGCATGTGACTGAATGTCTACTGAAAAATAGTGACAGATGTAGACACCAGATCTGTTACCAGATCACACATTTATACATGAAACAAACATAAATGCCATGTTTCCATCATGTGTTCCACTTAATCTTTCTTAATTTGAGGTTTGACTGCCATTCTTCTTCTGAAATGGTTTAATGGCACCCGACTAGAGAAATTGTGCCATCAACTGTTAATCTCAATGAACTTACTTTTAATATTCAACATAACAGTAGTGGATGCATTAATTCAGGTTTTCTTTTGCCCATTTTCTGGAAATTGATTAACATTATACTAAATTTGAATGGAAAGTTGGCCCGACCACTGATCGCCAAGAAATGGTTCCAGCACATACCGGTTACTCCTCATAAAACCAAAACATTTTTACAGTGTATGAATTAAACATGGTAATGGCTGAGGCTTATCGCAGGCTCATGTTGTGTTTTTACCTCAAACAGAGCCATGCTAGCTGTTTCTCCCTATTTACAGTCTTTATGCTAAACTGGCTCCTGGCTCCACAGACCAACTTGAGAGTAGTGTCAATCTTCTCAACTAACTGTTGGTAAGACAGGGAATACGCACTTTTCCCAACATTTCAAACAGTACCTTTAAGGATATGAGAGGCGCAAGGTAAATAAGCTCAATTATTTACCAATGATCTAATAAGGGATCCTATACAATGCTTTATTGATCAACTAATAAGATAATAATAAAAGCAACTTTTTGGTTGCCAGGTTGTGAAAAACCTCTCTTGCTGATGAGTTCTTAATTACTATTATACTACATATAATAGTCAGATGACAGTCATTCATAACTGACTAACATTTTCTCACATTCTAATCGAGCAGCAACCTCCGTGGCTGGCAAATTAAGCCAACATGGAAGTAACTGCAGTAAACTGTAATTCCTTGAACGGCAACTTGAGGCTGGCTCTAAAAGTGAATCTCCTTAAGGCCTTATATTAAAATGCCCAAGAAATAAACATGTTTACAGCCTGGTACAAAAATGGGTTTGGTCTCTATAGCTAATTTCCCTGTGCAGTTGTCATGCACAGGGGTGAATATTTATATAACTCACCCATTTAAATTATATTAAGGCTCAAAATGATGTATAATTAAGGGCATGGCCGCTTTGAGTGACAGGTGGGTGTTTTCGGTAACCAGCCTTCATTCTTCCAGCCTCAGCTCCACCCACGCTACCAGCTCTTTGCCCATTTTTGGATTAGCCAGGACGGAGCAGGATGGTGACAGGAGCCGACAACTCAGAGCTTTACAGCTCTTCTCCACACCAATTGGTGACATCACACAGATACAGTTCATTTTTAATTATACAGTCTTTGGTGCTAATTGGTGCTAAGGCAATTATGTCTGCTGTTATGAATGTTAATAAGTTGATATTAAAGCATATTAACATCAGTTCTTACATTGATAAAGGGCCATGTCTTACTTCCTAACAAGTCTGCAGTTTTAAACTTTTGTATGTAACAGTTGCAAACCTTTTCCAGAAAGTAAGGGATTCATTACTTTGTGATCAACTGTGAAGCTAAAATGACAAAGCAAGTGTCCTGCTGGTGGAGAATAAAAAACAGCCACAGATATGTATTACAGCCTGACAAAACCCAAATAGCTCTCAATAATGGCTTATAGATTCTTAATAGAACATTAGAAAATGTATTAGAATGCCATTAGTGGCACTCCCTGCAATATATTATGCCCTTGCTTTACCCTGGTCATGTAATGTACAGTTCTTGATTCTCGATTCTACTGTCTGCTTTTTCACGAAAGTCTTAAAATCCCCCAATTTTTTCATCCATCTCTCATTCATCCCTCTCTTCACCATACTGCACATATCTGAGAAGCTGTTTTTAGAGTCTTCCTTCCACACATTTTATCGAGCTCATTCTGGTGTCAGAGCTGAAAAAATAACAAACTTCCATTTTATGTCTCACTTTTTTGTGAGTGCTTCTGTAACAGTGGATCAGTGAATAACATATCAACAGCTCTTTTATACCTAGATAAAAAAAATCATTATCATCCATCATCCAGTGCTGTATCCTTTTAAAAGGCAGATTTCTTGATGCTTAGTGTAATATCTTATCGAAAGGAGAGCTTATTTCTCCTCTGTTTGCTTTTGTTTGTGCAGCTGACAGTCAATACTACTCCCAGTAATTAGAGAGTGCTGCAGCTTTTTCCACTTCCAGTCACAGTCTGTGTGCCATGTTCTGGTAATTCATCATACGTTCTGTGCCATTTACACAAAGACACTCTGTAACCATCTTTATAAGCCTCTGCACTACTTAAAGATAATTTTTTTGCTCATGAGGAAGAATCTGATATGGGTGGTAACACAATGCATTTGTGCTTTCTGAAAATATTCCAGCCCCATTCCATTTCTTCTTCTTCCTTCCTTTGGCAGACTTTATAGCCTGGGTCAACAGAGAAATCACAATATTCCTCTTTTTCTTCCTCATGTTACCTGCTTATGCCCTCTCTCTCATTCTCCTTATCCTCGGCTGCTTCGTTACTGCTGCTGTTTGTCTTCCACCTTGTCTTCCTAGGCTACACTTCCTTCAGAGGCACCAGACACTGCAGAACAAATGTTGACAAATTGATGTAGCTTAACAGAAGCACTTAAATGCAAGAGGATGTGGTGGTTAAAAGAAAGGAGAATTTGTGTTAATGTGCTTTTAGAAAATAGCCATCTGGTCTGTATGGGTTTCGATCACCCATGGCCATATAGCCAGATAACCACAACCAGTATTAGTATTACCAGTATTACAACCTGTATTAGCAATAGGTGCTGTACCAGGGTCAGGTGTTGAAATAGATATTTCTGGTGCATGTGTTGGCAGCACCGCATGAAGAACAGATGTACAACATATAAACAGAATAGGCACAAATGTTCTATTATTTATTATAAAATTAAGGGTTAGAGGTTAAGGTACTATGTGTGTGTTTTCCTCCACAGTACATGTTCCAGAACCAGGAAGCGGAGGCTTTTCCAGCTGCTGGCTGTGAGGAACAGTGATCAATCTGTGCCGCGGACTGTCCTTTCTGAAGTGGAAGGTAACAATCCTGTGACTTAATCTGTCAGCAGCTGGAGGACAGACTAATATTACAGTACTATGTCATAAAAGGATAAGGCTGTTGATATTATATATTACAAATCCTATGAAGCGTCTTTAAATACTTAAATACTCCAACTTCCCCACCAGTCAGTTAGTTCCTACTAAAAACATAGATCTTTAAAAAACGGGTCATGAATAAATACTTTCTGTAAATATATCCCAACGCAGCAGGGAACTGTAGTTTGTAGTGTTTGTTACTCAAACTGGATTAAATAATGCATCGGTTGGGGTCTAGTTTCAGCTGTGGATTAATACATATTTGGTGCATTAATGAGTATTTCCAGTGGCAGAACAGAGTATGTGGCTCATTGGTGTGTTTGTGTTTGTTTTTGGACAACAATGGATCTAATTTGTTGATGATAAGAAGACTATAGAATGTTAACTGAGCTTTAAAATAGAAATACCAGATACATATGTGTCAAACACCATCTGTATAAGCAACTACCAGGTTATTTCCAGAAAAACAGTTTAGTCAAACTGCTTTTCAGAAACTGCACATACTGCACTTTAGCACAATAATGGCATCGTCATGGTAACAAGCAAACATTTCGCAGGTGCAGTGTGAACAGTTGTACATATGGAACATGTTGATCAAGTCCATCTCAATACAATACTCATATGTCATATGTATGTTGAGAGAGTTGTTGGTCATAGTGAGCAATCCTTCTGTCCATACTGGTCATTAAGTGATCCCTTCCTAACTTTACAACACTGTAAAAAAAAAAGAAAAATGGAATAAAATCCACGGCCATCGTTCTAGATAAAAAGCTAATATGAGGCTTTGATCTGAGTCAGACAAATCTGTATTTCTGAAGCCTTTTTTATGTGAAATGTACCCTTTGTGATTCTGTGTTTCCTTGCAGAACCACAAAATAGGGATACATTCTGACATGTAGGTTTGTTTGCCAGGACAAAATACTGAACCTGAACATGAACATGAACACTGCTAAAGCCACTATTTTACAGTATATTTACATTAGGAAATACAAATAGGATCCAGAGGGGCTATAAAGAACAAAAATATGTACAGATCCAACTTTTTATTACATTGAGCGCTCTAAATGCTGTTGCATGCACACATGATACTACTCATTCCCACATTTTGATCAATTTGTGCACATGAGATAAATACAGAGAGCAAGCCTTCTCGCAGAGGCATCAAGTGCAATGCACCTGCATCAAGTGTTATGCAAGGCATCTTTGTGCACCCACATATTCTTACATGCAGATCCAGCGAGCTACAGAGTGCACCAACTCTACACTGACAACTAAGGACTAAACTATAAAATCAGTCTTAAACTGGCATTGATTTCTTTAGTCCACATTAAATGCATAGGTAGGCCATCAACACTCGACTATGGTACGTCTTAATCCAAGTCTACCCACTATGCGTGAAGACGCACACAACTCCGTCAACAACACCGTTAGCTATCCCCTATATAATGTGAGAATGAGCTATGTGCCAACTGTTTAAATAGTATATGTTATCAAAAACAGTCAGTGACTCTTGTCATTGTCTGTGGGTTACATTTTAATCAGTATATTCGGTATAAGCTGATTGTCCAGTTGGTCTGCCTTGTTACGCAGAGTGGGCAGACTGTGTGTTAATAACCTGTGTATCAATTTTCGGTGAAGACTTTTGGCAGCTCACTGCCATCAACAAGTGAAATACTGTGGATGGATGCATACAACAGGAGTGCAGTGGCGGCCTAATATCATTATTTTCACTCACTTTAACTCAAAGGGTTAGGCAGGTTAGGTTTGATACGTCACCCTTGCATTTGATGTCTAAATTGTACCAAGAAATGATTGCGCAAATCTGTTAGTGATGGGTAACTTTAATCGTTGTTGATGAGGAGTCACTCCCTTGTAAGCAACCTGACATGCTGTGTTTTTGATTTAATGCTCATACATCAGTGTGTTTATAGGCTTCTTTGCTATTTGACCTACGTGTGTTTTATTTGTAACAATAAACTATAGAATATAGTACTGCTACACCACTCTACAGGGCATACTGCGCCCTATAGCGATCTTTGGTTTT